AGAATTGTTAAAAATCGGGACTCTCCCGCCAAAAGCGGGATGTCTGGTCACCTTACTTTTAAGGTAATGATGATGATGATGAATAAAAGGTGTAAGGATAAGTAAGTAACCTCTTTCGTGATGGGCGTAAACTCCTTCACTAGCGTGGCACTGTAGGCACTGGGAGGCTCACGTTCCATAGCCCGGGAGTTGCACTGCTCTTAAGTGCTTGCGTGGGGCTCCACGCTCACGGTGACTGGGTATCACAGAATGAAACGTGGTTGTTTTTAACTCACAGAAGGGTGGCTTTCACTCCAGGGGTTTCCTTTTCTTCCCACTCTCTCCACTAAAGGAAAAGGAGTCTCTCACCTTACTCACAAGCCCTGCATTCCGTGAGCTGTTTCCAACTTCTCAGGGCACCCGATCTTTTTCGAAAGACAGGGGCTACCTTAACTATGAATCAATGCTGCATCAAAATAATTTATTTCATTATCTGGAAGCCTGCTCAAACGAAAAAGCCAAAACCAAACCAAACCCACAAAAAACCCCAGCCTGCTACAAGTGGATGGATATTCCTTTGTCTTATGGTCACTGATGTTACGGGAAGCAGTGGGTGCAAATCTTCATAATCCACCCAGCTGGCCTTCCAACTCTTCAAATACTTTATCTCCTCTTTACCAAATCTGGGAAGAACGACACAGCCCTGGTGTCCACATGGGGACAATTTCCCGGTGCTCCAGGTGTAGCTCAGGCTCCCACGTTTGCATGCCGACATCAAGCTACGGTTATTGGCTCCGTCACCTGCGTCACCCGAAGAGTCAAAGAACCGAAATGGGATCGTTTGGGAACAGAGTCCTGTGTACTCACATTGGAATACAGAAGAAACAAGTCTGCCTGCTACTGCGGATAATGGTCCATTATCCCTTAAACTCACTCAGGAGGCGGAAGGAACGTGGGATGAGAGGACGAAGAGTTTAAATTCCCGACTAGAAAAGCTCTCCGACCAGTGAGGGCTGTGCAGTGCTGAGAAGGACCACCGTCTGTGCGACAATGGGGACCGCACACGCAGGAAACACAGGCCTCTAAGAATCAGAGCACCTCCTGCCGGGTTGCCTGGTATTACCGTCTATACTCGAGTATAAGCCAAGTTTCTCAGCATGTGTTTAATGCCGTTTCTGTGGGAAGATCAGGTGCCGCGGCGGATATTCAGGTCCGCTTATACTTGAGTCCACACGGTATGTTCGTGTTTGATTATCTTCACCACTAGGTTCTTAGCTGAGAACACCATGCCACAGTAGTCTTCATCTTATCCATATGTTCACCCATACATGACCATTTACAAATGTGGGACCAGATTTCTAAAGAGATTTTAAATAGTCTGTTCCACCCCCTACCCCCCACCAAATTCCAGTTTTTGGGGAAATATGGTCGCATCTCCAGGCAGAGACGGTGGAGTGGAAGCTCTTCTCAGAGCTGGGCGCTGAGGTCAACAGGAAGGGTCATTGCCTTCAGAGCACGGCGCTGGCCTGAGAGAAGCTGTTCTCTGAGAGCTAGTTTGAGCGATCTTCAGATGAATGCCAAGGCTTAAACGGAAGGCATCACCTGTTCTTAAAATTCACGAACATTCTGTTAATGTATTTGACAAGATTTATATTTGGGAAGGGTTTTCCCCCCAGTAATGCAACACATGATTTTCTAGAATACAAAGAGACCCATCGTTGTAAAGTGGACCCTGACTCGTGGCGGCCCCCTTGACTACAGAGTAGAACTCTGGGTACTTTGGGGAGGTAGATTACCACATCTGTCTTCCATGGTGCCTCTGGGTGGGTCTTAACCATGAATCTTTCCCTAAGTGGTGTAATAATTAACTATTTGTACCACTTCTAAACTCCTGCAGGTCAAACAGAGAAGGACAATTGCATTCAGGGACTGTGGAGTATGATTTTGTCATTGGAAAGATTCTGAAAAAATGTTTGTATATTAAAATATACTCAGAGTAAATTCATTTGTACTTTGGGTCGGTGTTTTCTACAAGCGATAGGGTATCAGAACAGCCGCGTGGATCAAAATGCCACTGCCAGTGAGTTGATGTCAACAGAGAGAGACCTACAGGGAAGAGGAGAGTCGCCCCATTGGGTTGCTAATCTTGACAGAAGCCAAATGCGCCATTTTTCTCCAGCAGAGCAGATTAGTGGGTTCGAAATGTTGACCTTTCAGATATCAGTCAAATGCTTTTACCACTGCACCATCAGGTCTTCTCAAATTCAACCGCATTTTTAAAAAGTCACTTACGCTTTGGTAGTTTTCACTAACCAAGAATATACCGAGATGCCTCCTGAGTAAGCTGCACATAAAATACGTCCAGAGATGAAAAGAACTTTCAAATAAGGGAAACTAGTGTTTCTTTTGCTTTTGCAAGAATTTACTGCAGTCATGCTGGATGGGACGCCTCTGAATGAAGGACTGCGAGCACATCCTCCCCAAACAAGGCAACGTCGGCTCTCCCAGGGCTCAGCGTATATTTAAGGGGCCTGTCAGGATGGCTTTGTGTTGCCTACACATACTAATATAGTTTTGCTTTGTTCACAGTGAAATTTAGTTTCTGGAAAATCTGCCTAGATTTAACAGTTCCCTTGACTATTACATCCCACAAATGTTCAGCTAACGAGGAGAAGCCCCACAGAAGATCCACGTTCTCTCTGAAGGCGACTGGCAGATAGGCACTTCATTTTTAAAAAAATGGTAGGAGAACCCCTCTAATGTTCCCATCCATTCAATTGCTCTGAAAAGTCTCAATCGTTCCCACTCCATTTACTTCCCAGAGTGGAAAAGTGGCATAAGACAACAGATTAGCTCAAGTCAAGACCAAACAGCATATGCGTGTGATAAATGAAATCTAACATTATCAAGAAATAAAACAGAAAGATGAACTAAGATGGTAAAAGACATTATTTCATCTTAAGATGAACCTTATTATTACGGTAACCATTATTTAAAATTTAAACTGAAGCATCTCTGCCATCCATTTGTTACTCACAGGGACCCTCCATGGGGTTCCATGGGCAGAAACTCTATATGGCAGCAAGCAACCTCATCCTTCATCCTAAGCCTGGCTGGTGAGTTCGAACCACCAGCCTTATAGTTAGCAACCCAATGCCTCGGTCACAGCACCATCAGGAATCCTTGTTTTTTAAGTAGAAACACAGTGCTACTGAGTCAGACTCAGAATGACCTTGTATGGGGTTTCCAAGTCTGAAAAGGTGTATGAGAGCCAACAGCCTCATCTTTCTCCCACAGAGTGACTGGTAGGTTTGATCCACTAACCTTGCAGTGAGTAGTCCAATGTCTAGCCCACAGGGCCACCAGATCCTCTCTTAAAGTAGAGGATGATAAAAGCAAAGCAACTTTAATAGGAGAACAATTTACATGATAAAACTACTACAAAAGACCAGTAGGAGCTTGGGTTCCTAATATGAAGAAGGGCAGCTTAAAGCAATTGCATAAGCAATTTCCTTCAGAAAGAAGAATGAGAATCAAGCCTATTCCAATGTGAAGGCCAGACAGGTCTCTACCATAAAACCTTCTCTACCAACTCTGACACTACAGCACTCTCTATTTATCTTTGGGGTTCCATAATTCATTGCAATGGTCATGCAGAACTCATAGACAATACTCATGATTATGGGGTTTAATTAGGGACATTAACAGAATACAATTCGGGATCAGAAATCCTCAGGACATAGTTCTTTGATCAGGGCTGTATCTTTCGAGTCATGCATGAAACCTCTCAGATGCATGGCTTTTTGGCCACTGCCAAGGCCACTGCCCTGCCTGGGCAAAGTTACCAAGCTCTTTTAAATGCCCATAGGACATGCTACTCTGTCACAAACCTCAGCTCAGAGGTGTCCAGTTCTAGCTTCCAGGACCTAGCTTCTCCAACTAGATGCTCAGGGGCACTCACACCACAAGGGAGCCTTCTGTCAAACGTACTCAGCTTTCCTAGGTCTATGAGCTAGGAAGGCCCCGCCCTGTCTTATGCTCTATGTGCTGCTACCTCTGCTGCGACAGCGTCTCTGCCATTTCTCCATCATCTCCTGTTGTCTTTGGATCACAGCTCTCTGTCTTCTAAATCAAGAAGAAGCTGCACAATGGACTCTTGGGATCCAAAGGTCATGCTCCTGGGTCTTCATTCTTGATAGCAGGGAAATCCTCCTATGCTTGTTTCTGAGCCGGCTTGCTTTATTCATAAATTGACTACTCCCCACATAAGGGTGACAAGGTTTCACAATCACAGTTAACCCTGTTAACAGTCACTCACAACTGAGTCATATGGTGCTATCAGCATCTTTCCTCACCTTATCTTACTCAGACCACCCTAAACACCAAAAGAAAATACACCCAATATGTAGAAAATACACCAGCACAAACACTCTGGCTAGAAGAGCCATATCAAGGAAATCCCTACATCACAATGGAATATGTTTCTCTTTCATGAAATGTAAGCTACAGCAGTGATGCTAACCTATTTCAAATAAATGAAAAACATCTTTTATGGTAGATATAGTTCTACTAAAATATTGATTTTGCTTACATTAATACTGTCTTCCCCAAACTGTTTTATACATGCTTGGTAAATATAAGATGGCACTAAATTGTTAATTTGCTAAGAAATTTATTTTTTTTAAATGAAAGTCATATGCCTATGATTCTTATAATCAGACAGTTATACGCTCTTATTATTAAGGAAGGAAACTTGCCTGTGAAATCACGAAGATTATTTTAAAGAATCCCAAACCACACACTTTGGCTACTGAATTTCTCCCTGCCTCACTTACTAGTTCAGGAGTAACACCCGGACATCAAACCACAGTTGGTAATTTCAATGAAATAATGTCACTAACAAGCAGCAATTAGTTAAAGTGATGCTTTTGTTCAACGAATGTCCACTTCCCAAGGTAAATCTCCTTTACATCGACTCCCACAGAAGGCTCAGACTTTGCCAACACCCTCCTTCTACGTACTGGGAATCTGCTGGATCCGGTGGACAACAACAAAGGCATCAGACAGCCCGACTTTCACTGGATGATTGGTGGAGTTTATCTGTGTGACCAAGACGGGAATCTGGAAAAGAAGAAGCAGATGGTTATGTGTTAGATTTCACTTTCATTTGTGTGAGCGTGTTGTTTAGGGATAACATGAGGCGAGGGGGTTCCAATATTGGGGAAGGGAAAAGAAGTGACTTCTTGGTCCGCAGGACAATGACGTGAGGTTGTAAAGAACGAATTGATGCTGGATGTTGGAGAAAGTTGTCATTTGATGCTATTGAGTGGGCTCTAATTGAGTGGGCTCTCGTTCATGTTGATGACATAGAAATGTCATCCATCTTCATGTGTCCCGGTACCTATGGGAGCATTTTCCAGCACTACATTGGACACTGTCCTCTTGTGACTCATGATTAATTTTTCAGACATTTTCATTGCTAATTTTCAGAAGTAGATTGTCAGGCCTTTCATCTTAGCCTGCCCTAGTCTGAAAGTTCTGCTGAAATCTGCCCACAATGGATGACCCTGCTGGTATTTGAAATATGGGTGGCATAACTTCCATTCTGATAGAAACATGACAGTGGCCACAGTAAATGGGCAGACCAACTGGACAGACAACCTATCTAGGCACTGATGTTGGCCTATCATTTTAGGAACAGAGATTTTTCTCTTACTATTTGCTTCATTATAAAGTTATTTTCTAGAGTTTTTTTTTTCTGGAATCTGTTGTTTCTAGTAGTCATATAGGTACAAAACCTACATAAAGACAAGTAAGTGGACTACAGAATATATATTTAAAAATACTATTATCTTTTAAAACAATATTGAATTTGACAATTGTTCATGAGTGTTGAGGTTCGCTATTCTGGCTGAAACACAAGGAAAATGCATGAGTAACTATGGGATGTTCATATTTAATAGAACTGAACCCCAGTGAAATCTCAATCTATTACAGACATGTTTAATATTTAAAGTTTTAAAAACTAGTTAATGCGGGAAATATATTTAAAATGATGTCATCTTTACTAATAAGACAAGTTCTTGAGGTGAACGTTTCTAGGTAGAGAAAAGACTCATGGAGTTATGACTGCACTTTCTATTAGTGGTGTTCTGGAAATACAATAGGAATTATACCATCTTCAAAACATAAACAAAGCCAGGGCGCTTGACTGTTTTATTTTAGTTTTTCCAATTCCTAAAGAGAATTTGCAAGTGTTCTTACATTTGCCCAACAGAAACAAATAAAATAAATGTCTACCCCTAAAGCCTCAATGACTAAACAGAAGTTGGATACACGTCTATATGTACATATATATATTGGTTAGTTTATTGTGTACCTTCCTTTTCCATATCCACATCGGAGCCTGCGTTTACACAGCTCTCTGTTGGAATGACCTGGGTGGTCAAGACTATCATCTGTTTGTAACAGGGCTCGTGGTCCAGGGCAGGCGACTCTGTTCCTGCGGACAGTGGACCCATAGGCCCTCTCTTCACTACATCTCCTCTACATTCACTCTCTCTCTTCCCATAATTAGTCATCTTTCATTTTGATTTTTTTCTACCCCTTTCCTGCCTTTCATTTCAGTTTCTTCCTGCTCGGTAGTCAAGTCCTCTCCCCCAGGGGTTTCTACAAAAACATAGACTGATAAGTGAATGGCCAGTGAACATGGACTTTGTTGAAGGCCCCTTCCTTGGTTTGGGTTGATTTTACCATTCACTCCTTCCCATCAATGACTTCCTGTCTCCACATCCTTTGCCCTGAAACTTTTCAGTCCTCTCCCATCTTACTCAGCAAGATGACAAAAAGTCTAATAGCACATTTGAAACAAAAAGATGTTTTTGAGAACTTCTTCCATAATTCCGCATCCTTTCTTGTGGGCTCTGGGTGTGTGTGTGTGTGTGTGTGTGTGTGTGTGTGTGTGCTGATTAAGCTACTGGATTCCTAAATGTAAGGTTGGCAGTTCAAAACCACCAGTCACTCCTCAGGGTAAAGATGAGGCTATCTGTTCCTATATAGATGTTCTGCCTCACAATCCCTATCTAGGCTTTGCTACAAGTTTGAGTAGATTTGATGGCAATGGGTTTTGGGGTTTTGTTTTCTTGTAACCCTGTCACAGTCCCGAGAACATATTTTGATGGATAAGGGGGTGCTATCTTTCCCTCATGCTTGACCAGCCAGCCCCCAAGCACTTCAGCAAACACATGAGGGATCCCAGTTAAAACCATCACACTCTGACCCATGTTGGTAGGATCACCAAGCTGATCCATAGGTATCTTTTGAGAAATAATAAATCGAGTTGTTTTAAGACATTATACTTTAGAATGATCTGTTACACACCAAGGCTTACCAATGCATTATCTATTAAAAATTTAATGCCAATACAAATTTATTTGGGAGTTTATATAAAATGAAATAACATCACTTTTCTGAGATCTCTGGGAATATCTCTCTAGTTACAGGCAAAATCCAATTTGAAAGATCAGAACATGCTAGCAATTGAGTTTTAGTCTTCCGTAGCCTCTCTATCTTTCTCTTATTCTCTATTTATTCTTTGTTCCCTGGATTAAACCAATGTGTGAACTTTACATAATAGATATTTATTTAACCCCAGGGAAATCTATCCTAAACCAATATAAATCACCCAAGGATACAAAGATGGCTTTGGATGGAAAATAATCCCATCACAGATGGGCTGACGCTCTAGGAAGATAGTGGTAGACGATCTCTAAAGACCCTTTGAACGCTAAGATGACATGATTACAAGGATAGTAACATTCAAACAAACAACAAAACCTATTGTCATCAAGTGGATCTCAACCCATAGCTACCTGTTAGGACTGCGTGGAAACCTTATATGGCTTCCAAAGCTGTAAATATTTACGGGAGCAGACCCCCACATCTTTCTCTCACCAAGCACCTCTGACCTTT